TGTTTTATAAAGGTCATATTATATCTCTACCATCAAACACTTTCTGGGATATAATTAATTGTGGCAGTATTTTGTAGCTTGGTGGATATAAGTGAATGTGACATTAACATGTGCACAAAAATGCTTTATTTAGTCACTTACCCTCATATCCTCCATTTAACTCATAATTAGAGGCCTTTAAATGTTTTGATACACTGTCAGTTCCTAATGTGTGTCAGATAATATGCCCCACTTATGAGCAGTTTTTCTTAAATCTTGGTTGTCATAGTTACTTTTGTTACCATTGGCCAACTAACATTGAGCCTTTCTTTTTCTTTTTTTGCTGCATTAAAATGGAGCAGTAAACCTGACAGGTGAGGAATAGAGAACAAACCCCTTTAATGCTCAGTAAGATACTGGTAGCTGTTGGAAATATTGAGGCGGTGAGGGTGGAGGTTGGATATACAAGGTGTTACCTGCTAAGTGGAAGATGGACAAAGCCTAGATATATAAAATATTAAAATTTTTGCTACTAAAATGATTCTTAGGAAAATAAATTAGTTTTTCTGTATAAAATAAATAACAAATTATCTTTATATAAAGCCAAATTTAGAGGTAATGAAACCAGTCTGCATTTTGTATGAGCATTTGTATGTGTTAATATGTCTGCAGAACAGAAATGTGAGGTGTTCCGTAAGACGTTTGTTTTGTTTTGTTTGTTTTTACTTAAGATTGGTTTTTAAGTTTGATCTGAGGTCACCACCCAATACAAGATCACTAATGGCATTTTCATATCCTGCAAATATTGATAGCCATGCATTTGTAAAAATACTGACATCATTCCAAATTATTTCCATGTTTTTCAGATTCAAATAATAACAGCAGCAGCAACAGTAGCAGCAGCAGCAGCAGTAGTAGTTGTAGTAGTAGTAGTAGTAGTAGTAGTAGTAGTAGTAGTAAGACTAGCTATCTGTGTGATTATTGAATGACTGGTCCAATCAAACCTTCTCCTTTTCTAACTTCTATCTATCTATCTATCTATCTATCTATCTATCTATCTATCTATCTTTGTATTTATATTGATAGATAAATACTTCTGCCGAAGCTTAAACTAATGAAAGGATTTCAGTGCTCATCTCAATTGCCTTCCTCCCAAAGCTGTATTAAAGTAGTTCCCAACGAGTGTTCCTTGGACCAGCAGCAGAAGCATTAGCTTCACCTGGAAATTTGAGAGAAATACAAATTGTTGGTGTCCTTACCCCAGACCTAGTGAATCAGAAACTCTGTGGGTGGGGGTGCAACAGTCTTGACCAAAGACAAAACACTTTGGACCCACTTAATACACTCTAAGATCTACCTTCCCATTTAATGCTGTCCACATTTTAAAACATCATCCCTGCTTTCTGGTTCTATTAAGATGAGAGAGTTGGAACAACCCTCTCTTTTTTTAGAATCACTAGTTAAACATTTATGAATATTTGAGGTACTAGATATGAGTTTATAATTATTCTTAATTAAATGATGCTTTATGTATTATGCTTTGGAGTTATCTAAGTTATATGTGGGTAACTTTACATTAATAAAATATGTACACTTTATGTATACATGGAAAAACATATAAAAATATGAATAAACAATTCAACTTCTAAAAAATTACATTTAACCTAGACATCATCTCCTAACCCTCTCCCTCTGTTTCATAAGTGAATAAATTGAGAAGCATTATAGTTGACTTCCTTACGAAGATACACACTGGTAGTGTCAGAGTGGGGTTGCATTCTTAATGGCATCAGAATCATGAACTGTTTGAATGGATTTCTTTGAATATTAGTAGTTGGGATTTCAGATAGATGCATCTTTCTTCCAAAAGCCTTTGCCCATTTATCCAAGCATCTTTGTCCTAAGTAAATAGATTCATACCTTATCCTTAGAAGAGAACAAGGTGAGAATAAGTGGGGAAAAAAGTCCCTGAGACCACAGAGTAGCATTTTGGTTATATGTGGTTCCCATCCCAAACCACCACTTATGTTTATACTGCTGTTTCCACCAACTCTAGAAATGTCATGTGCTCTTGCATTTCCTTTTCACCCGTATAACTCCTGCATGTAGTACATGTTTCTCTCTGCAGGAAATAAGCTATTAATAGGACTTTATAATCTTAATAGAAAAAATAAAAGAACAAGGCAAAATTCAAATCTGCTCGTAGTCACTATTCTTTGTTTTTTTCTAGTTGAAAATGAAAATGTGAATAATGAGACTTCTGAAAAACTATCAGGAAAAATATGACCATGGACATTCCTATTGGGCCTGATTTAGACCCTCCTATGCTAGTTAATACTTTGTGGTAGTAAATTCTAATTTTGAAGCTATTTATCATTATTACCAATGAGAACCAAACTCTTCATCTTGCAAACATATCTTAGAAATCCTTTCTGTTAGAAAAAAACCATTTTAGCACATTCTTGTTTAAAAATAATGTGATGAAAGCATGGGCAGCCAGTATCCATGTTGTGATCACCAGAACTAAACTAAGGAAAACAAAGTTTAAACAGCTGGTTTTCTGAAATGGCTAGAATTTTTAGAGTTTGAGATAATGGAAATCATTTATTTGAACAGATAAAGTGAGGGACAAGTTAGTTATTAAATGTCAGGGAACACCCTCCCAACTTTATTACAACTATACATGGCAATTTTAGTCCTGAGCTCTGTTTTCTGAAATTCATCTGGGCAACAAGATATGACATTCACCTTTCCTGGCACCAGAGACACAGACTAAATTTCTTTAGAGAGTATTCTTTTCTGTCCCTTTGTCTCAGTGTCACTCAGCTTGGCCTCCATGAAAAAGAAGATAAGGAGCATATTCTACAGTACCTGCAAGAGTGACCCAATTTCCTTGCCCACATATTTCTACATCTGGCTCCATAATCCTGCAAGAAAGACAATGGGGCCACTTTGAGAAGGGATAAAAATCCAGGTTTTAATCATTATGTCTGGCACATCAGTAAAAAAATGCATCTGTGCCAAGTCGAATGGAATAAAACAAGCTTAAGGAACGCCACTAGGGTTCCTTGAATTGAGAAGACCAAGTGTATGATTGTTACACGTTGGACTGACTGACTAGCAGTTCATGGCATTTCATTAGCCCATTTCGCTTCTGTACCTTTGTTGCTAAAGTGAATCTCTATGAGTCATATACTCACAGCCTAAAATTCGGTGACATTTTCCACTCTGAAAATGGTCACCATTTCCTTCTTTCACATGATCTTTTGAGCCACACTTTCTCTTTCTTCTCATATCTTTCTTGTCAGCCCTCAGCTCTGCTTTTCCTTTCATTCTCATTTTCCACTCCATACAATTGGAACCTCCAGTACCGTTAGCACACCTCATATTCAGTGCTCACCTCTGATTCGTGGCATAACCTGACAGTATATTCTGTCCTTGGGCTATACCTGACACTTTAGGTAGAAACAGGAAATCCCAAGACAGCTTAATCCAAGGTTCTGAGAGAGCATGGTGTCTAACAAGACTCACCCAAGAAAATTCATTTCATCAACGCTGTTTTGCTGAAGGCATTGCACTTGAGCAAATCAAGTGTGCTTTCCTTTTGCATCAATCTTCCCTTCATCCCCTGGTTAGTTTTATTTTATACAGATGAGCAGAGATGGAAATAAAGGCTATTTAACAGGAGCCCTCTGGCTAACCATGGAACGACCTGGGTGGCACTCAATGAGATCCCATTGCCACAGCAACACTAATGAGCTGTGTGACAGTCATATCAGAAAGACAAGGGAGTGTTCCTGAACACTGCTGTGCCCCTTTCCCCAAAGAAGAATGTCTTTGTTTTAAACAGGGGTGGATGCAAGGATTATGACTCCAGCCTGGAGATTGCTGGAATCAGTATTTGAATAAATACAGAATAAAGCACTGCTTGAAAAGGTCTCCATTTCTTGAATTCTTAATCTAACTTAACCTTAAAGAAAATACTTAGGCAGCACTCTGCATTTGGGGAGGTTTAAAAAATGGATAAGAAATCTTATGAAGAAAAACCTGATGTTCCTTGCATGGACATTTTTTACTATTACATTATCACACCCTAAACAAAGTTATTTAATAAAACTAGTAGATAGTAATTAAAATAAAGATGAAATGCATTGTGTGAAGAATTACTTATAACAAGGCATTATTAATGGTTCACATATGCCATGAATGATCATTGGAAGCGTGAGATTACCCAGTAGGTGAAATTACTTTTTCTCTGATCTTTCTATGATTGACTTTCATTAATGAAATATTAATCACAGCTTAACATCATAAGCAGCCACACTATTTTTTTTTTAATTTGAAAGAGAAAGGGGATGTTGGTCTTGTGTAGCACTAATTCTCCTTCCAGGTGCCAAGCTAGCTTGGAATCTTAGAACACACTTACTACATCTGTCTGCCCCATAAGGGAAAATCCAGTGCAGATCCACTTTGTAGCCATCAAGATTCAGTCATATCTCTCTAAAACCCCCTTAATGCCTAACAGCAGAGGCAATGAAGAATTCAATTTTAGAGCTGAAGGAGGACTTTGAGTCAATTACTTAAACAAACATTTTAGACTTGAGGAAATGGTCTCGGTTAAGAGAGGGAAAGCACTGAACAAGGTCACAAAGCTAACCTGTCAGATGGTTTTAAAACAGAAAGTTGGGGGGTGCCTGGGTGGCTTAGTCGGTTAAGCGTCCGACTTTCGCTTAGGTCATGATCTCACGGTTCGTGGGTTCAAGCCCCGCGTCAGGCTCTGTGCTGACTGCCAGCTCAGAGCCTGGAGCCTGTTTCAGTCTGTGATTCCCTCTCTCTCTCTCTGACCCTCCCCTGCTCATGCTGTCTCTCTCTCTGTCTCCTAGAAATAAATAAACATTAAATAAATAAATAAATAAATAAATAAATAAATAAATAAATAAAACAGAAAGTTGGGAGCTTTTTAAATGTTTCAATTGCTTTTTTATTGTATTCTTACATTTTAAAAAAATTTCTCCCTACAGGAAGAGGGCAGAGTCCGACTCTAGAAAGAGCAGCATACCCAACAGTAAGGAGGTCCCTTCACACCATCCAACAGACCCAGTAGAACTGAGGCGCCTTAATTTTCAAACACCAGGTAAGAGGCAGGGCTCATCTTGTCCATAATACAAAATTTACTAAAAGAATTTGGGCCAACTGATACTGCTTTAAGAGATGAATATGTCACTTTATTTAGAACAATTTTGTTTATCCTGGTTTTTAATTGTAATATTACTGAGATTCACCAAATAGATATCTGGAAAGGAAATAAAGCTCATTTTGCAAATCTGAGCTGGAATAGACATAAGAAAACAAGTAATTCCTCTTCAAATTTTGGAAACATGATACTCTTGTAAGAATATCTACCATTGTGAGGGCTTAACAGTTTATTATTTTTAATGATACTTATTTGTCAAGAATTCAGTCTCTCATCTTATAAAAGTGAATGAATGGATGGATGAATGTCATATCATTCATTCTATTGGGAAAGAACAGATTTATTCTGTATTTTCTGATTAATTTGTGTCTATGTTACAGTGAAGAAAGGAGGGTGAGAGGAAAAGAAACAAAGTGAGGCAAAAATTAGTTTCTTTTAAAATATTACCTGTACCAAATGTCACTGGCCAATTTGAATTTCTTACTGGGGAAATACTTAAAGTGACTGAAGATAAGAAAAATAGACATGTTTCTTAACATTAAGTACTTAACAGAGGAAACCTATTGGTACTGCTGAGAGGCGTTTTGTACAGTATTGTTAATTCAAGGCTAGCTCTATTTTGCTATTCTTCAAATAAATTTTATTTATACCAAATGAATGGCAAATAACAGATGACAAGGAGATCTAAAACTGAGTGGCACTGTCGTAATTCCCAAGGATAATTAAGAAAGTAAAGCGCTGATCTAAGAAGTATGTTTAAAAATTGATTGTGTTATTGTTCCCCAAATTGTTGGCAAATGTTGTGTCACATGGACAGGCCAACTCACAGTAGGATATACCACAAATTTATTAAACTATGCATTTGCAGGGTATTACTTTCAATTCAAAGTGCAGTTTATTATATTTGGCATGTTTTCTCTTTTACATGTGAATGTATCATGGTAACTAATAACAATTCAGTTGAAAGAAGTGTCTGGTATTTTCAAAGTGGCTATACAAACCATCATCATAAATGTGAGTTGTTTTCAAAATTGTATCTGAAATGAGGTTAGGCTTTTTAAAAATCAGTTTTTAAAAAGCAAAAATCTACCTCCATCAGCATAAAAGGTAGAAGAAAATGTTCATATAGCCAAAAATCTACTGGTGCATTTTTTAAAGGCTGATAAATGAATACTACACACACATAAGGTTGATTGAACAAACTCATAGGGTCCTTCAGGTCATTGTAATCCCTCAGATGATCCTGTTGAGTCTGTTTCTAGGTGTATCATTAAAGCAACTTGATATGAATTGAGTTTATGTAGTAAACCTTCTCGGTTCACTTTTTGAAATAGCAGTATGCTAACTTCTTTAGGCTGTAGGCAACTTCTTTCTGATGGGCCCAGGAATTAATGTATTTTTCAATTTGGCTAAACCAGAGTATAGAAAGACAGAAAAGCCACAGAGATGATATGCTACATGACTGCTTTACAAGAGCAGTGCACTGTGGAAATGGAGAAAATGATTGTTACTTAATACCTTACTGCTCAGGCCTGTCCCCATCTCCTCTGGCTTTAATGTAAAGTGTGATCTGTATTGGAATCAACCTTGGTCTTCAGGCAGAGACAGAAGGATAGTATAGGGTGAGTGAAAAGGCAAAGATAGCTCCTGAAGAAAAGAACTAAGAGGAGTGCCATTCTTCATCTACTCTGGCACCAACAGAGAATAAATATTTCCAGGCATAAATAAGAAGTAGGAAAGATGCCTGGGTGGCTCAGTTGGTGAAGCACCCAGCTTCAGCTCAGGTCATGATCTCATGGTCCATGGGTTCAAGCCCCGTGTTGGGCTCTGTGCTGACAGCTCAGAGTCTGGAGCCTGCTTCAGATTCTGTGTCTCCCTGCCTCTCTGCTCTTCCTCTGCTTTCATTCTGTCTCTTTCTCAAAAATAAATAAACATTAAAATATAAAAAAAGTAGAAAGTATGGATGAGAACTGTGTAGAAAGGATTATTAGCAGAGTACAGGCAACTACAAGCAAGGAAATAGAAATACCTTCAACTAAGAGACCTCCATCTAGAGAAGTACCTCTCACTTTTATGGGTAATTTGGCAAAATATGATCAAATCCAAAAAAAGTCCATAAAGAATATAGTCTCCCCAGTATATATGTGAATATTAATTCCATTTATGGAAAGAACTTGTTAAATTTCATATAAGTCCATGGAAAACAGATGAATGTTACAATTGAAGTGACATTGGTTGTCTCACCAATAACTACAAAATCTCAATGGGGAACTAAGTTTATAGGAGGCATCATTTAACTGAGGTTAACATCACATGGGTAATGGAATAAAGTGGGCAAAATTACTAAAGAGGGAGAAAGGAAATTCAGTAGAGGAAGAGAATAGAGCAGGAGAAGTTGTCCTAAGGTCCTTGCGCTTCTGCTCACAAAGAAGCATTAGGTTGTGCCTCTTAGGTAAGCAATCTGCATGAGCTTGACTTGAATCAGTCTGCTTGCCTCCCAGGCTCTATGATGCATCCTGCTGTCATGACATCAGTTTACAAAAAACTAGACACAGCTGTTTATGTGAAATTCATAGAAATGTGACCATTTGTTTCAATCAGTACAGATTCTAAGCAATGGCTACAAATTGCCTTAATATTTGCCAAGAGGATAAGAGCAGAAGGGAGAGTTGTTAACCAAACAAGCTTTCTGTGCTTTTTCCTCTCCTCTTGTTCATAAATAACCAAGGGCTTTCCTGGATAATGCAATGAGATGACCCTATAGTAGGTGTTACACAGCAAATGATATGATGCTCCCTAATTTTTGGATTTTAAACCCATTCATTGTCTGCAATGTGCTTTTATATATATCATACCTTTGGAAGTATAATCATTTATTCACAAACTTGACAATACTTATTAATGGTATTCATAAGTATAGAATTAGCCATCCACATTTTCACTTCAAACAAATGACTTTCAATGAAATAATAAAAACCTGTGATTTATACAATCACCCCCTAGCACTGAACTTGTTCATGAAAGGAAATTCACTCCTACTTCTGATGGATCTGTTGAAATTCAGATTAGTATTTCAGTAGGTATTTCAGAAGGTAAAGGGAGCACATCATTCAGTTCACTAATTCTATAAATTCTCCTTTCCTTTAAAAAAAAGTTCTTGGGGATGAAAAAACTATTTACATTTCAAGTATTTATTTTCGTTGAAGAGCTTAGATAATAAAGAGGTGGACATTTTCCCTCAATTCTACCCAATACTCCAGAGGTATTGAAAACACATTCTAAATTTCACATACAGAATTTTGAACATTTAAGTATGTCAAAGAAACATACCTTTAGCTGCAGTACTACAAACATCCCTATCTCTGGGTGAGGTAAGGAAATGTCAGAATTCTGTCCACTATCTCTCCACTAAGGCATAAAGTAAAAGCAGAGAAACCTGTTGTATTCAGTATAAACATCTTTGCAAGATTGTGGGATGTGGGGGGAAAACATGGATTGAGTTCACTTCCCAAATTTCAGATAACAATATAGCTACTGTATTAGTGAAACACTATACTCAAGCATCTGAACAGGGTGAGGAAGACTCACATCTTCTAAATGAGAGCAGGTACTTCTGCTCATAGATATTTCCCATGAATATGTTTATTAGCCAGAATATTGTCTGTTAAAGTTCAGATGGCAGTATACAATAGTTGTATTTAAAACCTGAACTACCCAATCTATTAAAATGATGTATAAGTCATTAGTTATCGTTGTACTGGCTCAATCAGAACAAGTATGAAGCATACAATTGAAGTACAATGTTCATATTGTACCCATGACCTACAAAATTAGAGTACTAATGTGTAAGAAGATAACACTTAGCTAAGGTTAGACTTATCACCTCAAATGGAGAATGGAATAAAATTAGTAAAGGGGAGAGGAGATGTTGTAGAAGAATATGCTAGAGTTATTAACTGCTAATCAAGTTTTACAAGTCTGTAAGGTGTGTAGAAGAAGGGGAAAATATTTAGTAAAAGATTATTTTAAAAGAAAGCACTATTAAACCTCATAAATCTTTGTGGATGGCAGTAGCTGGGTATGCATCAAGAGTTCATAGATGAATTACATATTAAACAAAACTGAACTGTATCCAATTAGCCTAGGTTGGGAGGAAAATTTCCCTTTTTATCTCTAAAATTTCCCAAGTAGTCTTATTACCCTTACCTCTCAATAATTCTTCTTTTTTATTACAAAAGCAATACATGTTTATTGGGGCAATTATGTAAAATAGAAAATAAGCTTGCTAATAATTTTGTACATAGGTCGTGGCTACCCAGGTATGCATTATGGTAAATATTTTTTATGTTTGAAAATTTTCATAAGTTGGAAAAGGTGAAAAAGGCAGTTTTAAAAAAGAAAAACTATGTCCCCATGCTTCTAAGTCTTTTTTTTTCTTTTCTTTTTTGGGTGTATTTAAAATATAAGTAAAAGATTTCCTGTAACTACCCCAAATTTGCCCTTCAGAAATAGCCACCATATACAGCCCCATGTGTAGCCTTCCAGACTTTTTTACATGTATATACAGTACTTTAATTGGTAAAAATGTATAGCAGGTATATAGACAATAGACAGGTGAATATACATAAAACTTCCTGCTTTAACATTTAACTATGTAAACAGACCTTTTTCCAAGTTACTGTATTAGGTAACTTGGTATTAGGTAACTGTATTATCTCCTTAGCAGCCAATGGTATTGATGTTATTCTGTTCTACAGATGACACAAAATATACTGGCACATTCCTTATTAATGGAATTAATGGCTTATTAATGGCTATTTTCCATGGTTTACTCTTGCAAATGATAATGCAGTGAATAGTACTGAGTCTGCATCTTTTCACTTATTTGTTGCTACCTCCAAATGTTAGATAACTGGAAATGCTATCATAAGGTCCTAGGG